CTTCTCCAAATGGCCAAACCAATGTTACATTCCCATTTTGATTTTTGACACTACATTGTCTTTTGGTCCACACTTCTCTCTCTCTCTCTCTCTCACACACACACACACACACACACACACACACACACACACACACACACACACACACACACACACACACACACACACACACACACACACACACACACACACACGCACGCATACAAACACACACACATTATCATAATACGATGTATCATCTATCTATACTTATAATAAATCTGTAGAGAGGTCAATTCTGTACATGAAATATATTTCCAAAATAACTATCAGGGGGTGATTAGTGATCGATATTGATGCCAAAAATGCAATCAGTAAAATTTTTGTCTGTCTGTCTGTATGTTCGTTATAGAAACAAAAATGACTCGACGGATTTTAACGAAACTTGGTACAATTATTCTTCATACTCTTGGGCAGGTTATAGTATACTTTTCATCACGTTACGATCAATAGAAGCAGAGCAGTGAAGGGAAATGTGTCTGTTACATCAAAACTACTGAACCGTGAGGAAGGACATAGGCTACTTATTTTACGAAAAACGAAGGAAACGCGGACGAAGTCGCAGGCAACAGCTAGTCGTCAATAAAATAGTACTGATATTATCATCGGTACAGTACCGGAGTTCCTCCAACTGGATTTGAATACCGACGTATTATAAATGCAAAATGTCACTCGCATTAATCATGGATGCCGAGCAATAATTAACTCAAGTGCTTAATGTGTTAGTTCAATTTAGTATAGCAAGTAGTCAATACGTAACTCGATGACCGAAACCGCCGTCGTGTGTGAATCATTTAATTACGTAATTGATTAGTTAAAAATTTTTATTATATTTTTAATTAGCGAGATTTTTTTTTATGTAAATGCGTGTTCAGAATTGCCATGTTGATCGATCAAATCGATTAAACGGTTTTTTTTTATACTACAGTTATATTCACAGCTCTGTTATGTCCGTGGTACTGCTCGTGTCTATAGGCGACGGTTATCACTTTCCATCAGGTGGGCCGTCAGCTTGTTTGCCATTCTAAGTTGTATAAAAAAAAACAAGTCTTAAATCCGTTGGTAGTATAATCCATCATTATAATCAGCCGTTATCTATCTGAACATAGGCTTCTTCCAAAAGGGTTTTTTTAATGGATGATAATGGAATGGTAACCCTGCCTGCGCTAACAGTATACGCTGGCGAGGTATCAGTAAGGGGTCCATCGTGACAAAAAAATCACTAGAATTAACCACGATGATTTCCAAGAGGAACCGCGTGGTGGTCGACCTGATGAATACACCCTGTATTGCTAGCAACGGGTCAGTTAGATTCTAAAACTAAACAATAATAATAATAATAAGCCGTTTACTGTCCACTATTGAACACAGGCCTCTCCGTATGCATCGTCTACAGGTTTGCATTTCAGCAATCGCAGTTCAGCGTTGATGATGTTTTAAGAGGGACGATATTGCCCATCCCTTGACCATTATGTTCCCTTAGTCGCCCCTTAGTCTAAGCCGGGCCCACTCCTCGATATTTACAAGTATTACATATATTTTAATTTTTTACATAGATGCGCCAATTTTATCACCAAAAATCATAGGTTTAACACCCGCCAAAAATCATACCTGTGACACCAACTTTGCGTTAAAATTTTTGGAGCATAAAATAGGAAAAGGGTGCCCCATTTGTGGAGACACACGGCTGTCCAATATCCATGAGGATTATTTAACAAAATATTTGGTTTATACAGCAATAAAAAATTTACAATAATATAGTTATTGTTTTTTTTTTTATATATAATTTAGAATGGCAAACAAGCTGACGGCTCACCTGATGGAAAGTGGTAACCGTCGCCTATAGACATGAACAGTACCATGGATATAACAGAGTATACTGTTTCGCCCATGATACCCCCCATGCGTTGCCATTCTTAAGGACTCAGGTGTTATTCCTCTGTACCCTGTAAATTCACGCCATATCCCACCCTTCAAACGGAAACATAGCCATGCAAACACAATTGCTTCACGGTTGAAACACGAATGGGACAGAGGTACCCAAGTAATTGATTGTTTGTGACCTTACTAATTCTATAACCTAGGACATACAGGACTTGATTTCAAGTGGGTCATGGGATAAGGAAAGAAGTGTATAATTAATTCAATTAATTATGTTTATTAATAAAAAAATTAATTCATTTTACTATTGAAGTCTAAATAAGTAGTATAAAGATAATTATATTAGTAGGTTCTGTTATCTGTCTGTTTACTATTTTGTTAATATTTTAGACGTGAACTTGTTATTCTTAAAATAGACATTTCTTTAATGAAGTCACTTTTACATAAAAAAAAAAGTCAAGTCAAGGCAAGTCAATCATTTATTCGTATAAACATACGTATTTAGTTGCATGGTATTATATTTAAAAAATAATTTAGTTCGCTATATTCCTCTGTTTTTTTTTATACAACTTAGAAAGGCAAACAAGCTGACGGTCCACTCGATGGAAAGTGGTAACCGTCGCATATAGACATAAGCAGTACCATGGACATAACAGAGTATACTGTTTCACCCATGATACCATGCGTGAATGCACCCCCCATGCGTTGCCATTCCTGAGGACTCAGGTGTTACTCCTCTGTACCCTGTAAATTCTCTGCCAATTCCCACCCTTCAAACCGAAACACAGCCATGCAAACACAACTGCTTCACGGTTGAAATAAGCTGTTATTGATCGATCATACAAATATTGTGAAACCCTACACAAAAATTGTTAAATACAATACAAATTTTCAATTTAAGAAACTTAAATTTAATTATTATGTATTATTAAAAGTAGGCATTACAGCAATCAATGTCACAGTCATGAAAAATGATAATTTAAACAACAAAAACACTAAAATTGATAAAAATACGATTCAAAATCATTTTATGTCAAATGATAGGAAATTATAATAATTAGATTAAAAAAAAACAACACCTAAGGAATAACAGTAATGGTAGAAGATGTCGGTATTGTAGAAAGTTCACATTAGGTTCTAAATTCTTAATTAAGTTAATTTATATTATTAAATCATTTAAATATTGGATAACTGCATAATAGCAGTTTTCTAAGAGAAAGTAGAATAGCCAGTATAGGAGAAATAAGTTCTAGCTAACCCGAAAACCTAGTTTTAGCTATTTATATTTTCATTTATCGGGATAATAATTATCTTACTTCTAAAGTTGGGGTAAATTAATATACATTTACAAAATGTCATTAAAATCGGTTTAGCGTTATCAGATATCAGTATAGAATTTTAAGTTGCGTAAAAACAAAAGAATATTTACATTACAATATATTAGAGGACAATCGAAATTGAAGAACTGATTTAAGTCTAAGGTTCCAAAAATGTTGTTTTACACAATGATTTACATTAAAAACAATCTATTTATTAGGAAGTTTGGACGATTTTGATTAAACAACATTTTTTTTTCTCGTAATTGATTTTCTGAGAAGAAAACAAACAAAAATATTTAAAAGGCGACAACCGGTTTTTATAACCTTGACATTGTTTCTGCACGGAGCATTCGTTCCGAAATATGGAATTGTCTGTTAGTCAGATTTGTTTTAAAAACAATCAGAATGTTATCAAAAATTTTAAAACATTTAACAAGTTATTGTTCCGCAAAAAAGAAACGACGACTTCAATTATGATGAAATTAGCATTAGATCAACAAATGAGAAAATTGTATTTATTTAAAAAAATAAAACCCATTAAAACCTATTCACAGTTTGTGAGGATTTGTCGCGATATACACACAAAAATACAAACGAATTCAGAATCTTTTTCTATTGTAATTCGATTGAAATTCATTTTGAAAAGTTACTCTGACATTGGTTATTGTTTTCTTTAGAAATTCGAAACATCAATAAACTTGGGAATTCCAACATAGTCTAGATAGCATGTTAAGCATAATTTATTTTACAGTGGGGATTTCTGTGTCCTCAATCTGCATCTGCTTGTGTATTAATTTTTTTTTAAATCAGCTTTCGAGTTCAATATCTATTTATCTTCACACCAGGAATGTAATGGGCTAGACAGATGTAAGCTTAGAGATTCTTTACATAATATCTTCTGATTCAATTACTTGCTTAACTTGTCTCGTACCTAAATACAAGTTTGGTGTCTCTTGAATTCTCTCTTAGATACAATAAAGTTTTTTTTGATTAATATTGTCATCTCAGCCGTTACCTGTCCACTGTTGAACGTAGAACTTATAAGGGAGGTTTTATCAACAGTTCCCACGCTTAACAGGAGGGTTGGCAAGCACAGTTAGGCTTTGGTGATGTAAGAGGGACGCTGCTTTCTTGAACATTAAGTTCCCTTAGTCGCCTTTTACAATATCCACAGGAAGGGAAGGGATGGCCTATTTTATGGCTGGGGTCTTAGTCGACTCTTACGATACTTATGGGAAAGGAAGGGGTGAATCTTTCTATGCTGTGACTACATGGCAAACTCGACAACACAGTTTATCTGATCATAACGGTATTTTGGACATAGAGTCTAGACCGGAGATCCAAGGTAAAATCCCTCCCTAAAACTTCTAAATTACCGAATAAATTTTTGATTTCTTTAAAATTAATCATTGCTTGTTTCGTGCTTCAGAGGCATTGTGAAGTCATTGACTGGTAAGTCATGTCAGGGGGTTTCGTGAAAATGGTAACTTAGAAATTCTAGACACTAGAGGGCAATACCTTCACACGAGTAGTAGGCCTTCTCCAGTGCCTGCAGTTTTCCACTTTCGTAGTAAAGAGCTAGTTTGTGTCGATATAAATCCTTCTTTCCAACATCCTTTCCACAAGCCCCAACCAAGCCACCATCTGTGGCAGACAAACACGCAAAAAAGTTTAAATAGAAAAATAATATCTTTATCAGACGTAATCAACAAGAAATTAGGTAATGTTAAAAACAAGTTCAAATGTATCTCCTTGTTTAGTTCGCAGGCGGGCGTGTCGCGAATAAAAACAACTGGCCGCTAAGCTAGTGGCCAGTCGGCGAACGAAGTTTGTACCGTCAAGTTCCAAATTTAAATTTTTTAAAGCACGAATTTTGGATTCGGCGTATTTTGAATTTTCGGACATAGAACGAACATATAAACAATCATTATGATGAGGATTGTATACTTTTTGGCCATTTTGGGTGTCACTTGTGCGGCTACCTTCAGAGGGCATTTGCCAGCAAAACCCCAGGAATTGGGTAAGTGGATTTATAACTTATTATAGAGATGTGAATTATTTTTAATAAGTACGTATTATTTGTTCATTCTGTGTTTCTGGTATTTAAAATTTTGCCAGTATATTTTATGTCTTTTTAAAATCTTTAGATTTCATTTTTCAAATGGTCGTGTCGTCTTGAATGAATTATTGGATGAATAAAGTAGCTTGTATTATATAAACGCATAATAAGAATTTAATAAAGTTACAATACCTCATAACTGTGCATAACTAGATATAATTCTATAATACTTGGAATAAATTTAAATACCCTTACCTTACCCTTAGGGGAAATGTCCTTTTCAAATAAGGGTCTGTACTGTAAAATGTTAAAACTTTAGCTGTTACAATTTTGTGAAAGTGAATCTCATAATAAAATACTCGTATGCATGCTTTTTATATAATTATTACATTAGTGTTAATATAATTATTTACATAATATATTTTAATTTAGTTGCCACTTAATTATATTCATAAGAATTCATTATATATATAATTAAACTTTAGGAAAAAGGCGATAGCTGAGTTTCTTGCCAGTTCTTTTTGGCTGAAATTGCGTTTCGAATAGGCGATAAAGAATAAAATATGCCTATTCATAAATGCTTAAATTTCAGTTTATATTTATAAAAATATTTCTTTCTTTCTTTCTGATATTATTAATATTTTTATGCACTTGTATAATAATATCTTAATTTATTATTTGATGTAATACACAAATTTAATTCAAAATTGTACAGTGATTAGGAAACAATGTAATTAACGTTTATAATAAATTCGAAGGGACATTAAATTAAACGAATTCGGTGTGATAATTATTATAATTAGTCGTATTTATTATATTAAATTAATGTTAAAGATTTGGCTGAAGTAATAAAGAGACTAGCGTCCTGCTCCGATTTTGCATGGTTTTTGTTAAAAATATTATACAGTTCATGTTACTTGTTGACAACTTTATATAGGTGAAAGAATTTTTAAAACTGATTAAGTAATTTTTGGGGTTAACCATCCTAAAGGAATATACAAAACATCAAATCTTTCTTTTTAATAACAATAGTTTAAATAATGAGATTTAGGATGCTCCTAAATAAATGTACACATATTATACAAATTGCGTTACATATTATTTATACATTATACATATTATTATACATTAATCATATCAGCCTTTAACTGTCCACTGTTGAACATAAGCCTCCCCCTTGAGGGGTTTTATCACTAGTTGCCATGCTTGGTAGGCGGATTGGCAACCGCTGTCAGGCTTTGGAGATGTTTTAAGAGGGACGCTGCTGCCTATCCCTCGCCCTCCCTTAGTTGGCTTTTACAGCACACACGGGTAAAGAAGGGGTGACCTATTCTATGCAGGGACCAAACGGATATAATTTTTTATATAACCTCGCCATGAAATTATACTATGATCGTAAAGTAAAATTCTAGGTCACAATTCTCATAAAATATTTGTGTCGTTAACATTTTATCTTAATGGATATCCATCACTTGGGATTTACGTGCAATTTCTCTTATTGGATGTTATGCGCTTACTTCTTTAAATATTTATACTATGACATGTAGCAATTTATACTTAGGGCAATTCATTTTTAATATAGTACGCTATTATGTTCTTTTTTGTATTGTAAATTAAAAATTTAAAAATACTAAAATTATTAGTTAGTAGAGATAGGTAATTCCCGATATATTTTTTTTATACAACTTAGAATGGCAAACAAGCTGACGGCCCACCTGATGGAAAGTGGACATGAGCAGTACCATGGAAATAACAGAGTTTACCGTTTCACCCATGATACCCCCTATGCGTTGCCATTCAGTCAGCGTCAGCTTGTTTGCCATTCTAAGTTGTATAAAAAAATATATTTGTTCTAAAACGTTAGCAATTAAAGAGTCTCCATTCAAAATTGGTATTTATGTATGTGTTAAAACAAATTTCGTTTTTGTTTACCCCCGTACGTAAAACCCGCGTCGTGTCACGTCCTTGTCATGACACATGCTGAAATGAATCCCTTACTTTTAGCGTCACAAGTATACTTAAAATGGCATATTGCACATGAAGAGATTGCGTGCATTCTTACTATTTTCATGCGTATTTGGTTTTTCTTCCATGTTTCTTGTTAAATTATTAAATTATTATATTTCAATTGTAGAAATAATCGGATTGACTCACGTGTATTTTCATCGGAAAAATGGATTGAGTCACGTGTGTTTTCATCGGAAAAATGGATTGAGTCACGTGCAATTTTATAGAAATAGTTATTTATTAATTTCAGAATCATCCGGGAGACTTAATTAATATTAAATGTTATTTGTTCTGCGTATGTTGCATTTATTTTTTAATAAACAATCGAAACTTAACGTGATGAAAAAACTTTTACAGGTAAATAGTACTTCATACCTGCTTTTTTATTGCCGATATTTAAATTTAACTATGTAAGCAACATATTTGATAAATTATATTAAAGATTCAAATAAATCGTTTAAAATTGAAACAATAATCTAAATACATAATCGTTTACTATAATGTTACTAATTACTATTAATATCTTACTAATAAGATAACGGGTGAATTTGTCTTAGTGGCAATTGTCATCCTTATCAAATCAATGCGTAGGTATGTAATTAAGTTATTACTAACTACCTACATAATCCTTATCATCAACAGTTGAGTGTATGTTGCTATGTCAAAAAATGTAAATGTCTATGAAACAATAAAAGTTTTAAAATTCTGTACATGAATTGTGTTTTGGGTGTGTCTAGTCGCTAATTTGGATCCGGCTCGAAGGACCAATGTTCGGAGTATACCAAACTATGTATATTATCCTAAATATATATACATTAAGTTTGACGACCTCCGTGGTGCATTTTTTTGTGGGATGATAATGGAATGGTAACGCCGCCTGCTCTATCGATATACGCTGGCGGTGCACCAGTGAGGGATGATAGGTAAGAATAAAAGCAGATCAGTTATCCCATCGTGGTTCCACAAGAATTAACCACGGCGGTTTCCAGGAGGTACCGCGTGTACGTCAACCTGATATAATATATTGCTAGTAATGGAGCTGGTAAATCCCCATTACTAACAATCTCTTTCCTCCTGGGTGTTATGACGACGTTAATAAGATCCCGATTTCGATTACTGTTCGGGTCAATTTCGCGAACGAATTTTTCTCAATAGGTTCGGGTCTGGGTTCCAGTTGTACCCTAGACGGTCTTAGCTCCTCATAACATAAAGTATCCCTTAGGACAGGGCGATTGGTGTGATAGTGTTGCGTTTTTCATCATTTATTAATTGAATTAGTATTTATTATGATAAATGACCAATTAGTGATATAAAATATATATTAACGCGCATTTTTTTCTAGTAATATACGAAAATGTATAATTTTCTTGACGTCAAATATATATATATATATATATATATATATATATATATATAACGTACGTTGTTTGTTCGTATAAAGTATAAATCTTTTTTTTTTATACAACTTAGAATGGCAAACAAGCTGACGGCCCACCTGATGGAAAGTGGTAACCGTCGCCTATGATAATGAACAGTACCATGGAAATAACAGAGTATACTGTTTCGCCCATGATACCCCCTATGCGTTGCCATTCTTAAGGACTCGGGTATTATTCCTCTGTACCCAGTAAATTCACGCCATATTCCACCCTTCAAACCGAAACACAGCTATGTAAAACACAACTGCTTCACGGTTGAAACACGAATGGGACAGAGGTACCCAAGCAATCGACTTTTGTACAAAGTCTCCCTCTAGATGCAATTATACAGAAACTGATACATTCAAATTGGGTTACGAAATATTTTAGTATTGTCAACTTCTTATCATCTTATAATGTATCATATGTCAAATGTTATCAGCTTACCAGTTCTTTATCTTGCTTAGAAGTCCTATTACTTTGTATTGTAAGTATTTATATATTAAATATCAAGTATATATCTTCATGTATGGTATATAGACTTCAAAACAGGAGGAGGTGTAACCTCCTAAAAAAATATACAGGCGAACATATAAATGTTCACCTGTATATTTTTTTATGTATTTAAAAAAGTGTTATATATCTTATATTACTCACTAATAATATAGCTTTCTATATGTGAAAGAATTTGTAGAATTAGCTAAATATTTTTGAATTTATCGATTGCAAATATACAATAAAATTTTTAGATTAAAAAAAGTAAATTTTATCTCTTTAGAGTTAGGCTATTAACCCTATATCTTAGACTTTACGAGAAATGATTATTCTCAAGCAACCAGTATTGTTTACAAGACGTGATTCCGTTTCGGCTGGTTTGTGACGCAAATCACTGAATTTAAATATCAATTTATATGTAATGATCATAATTTAGATGAAACAGGTATATAAAAAAAAAAAAAAAAACTGCACTGCACGATGTTAATCTAAAACTCTTTGACGTAAACATGTTGATATTCCAGTATTATAAATTGATCATCATCTCTGGCATTTAAAATTGATAGCTGTATTCGTATACTATAATGGTTACGTGACAATACTAGTAATAAGGAAATAGTGAATTTATAATTTTAATAGTAAATTATTTTAGTACAAATTGGGATTTTTTTTAAATATATTTATAAATTTTTTTCACAAATATTAAGCCAGATTTATATTGTGAAGCTGGTTTCACGCCCAATACATAAGAATAAATAATTTAGTCCCTATTCTTGTACTCAGTCCTTCAAATTAGTTTAATGATGAAAATACATGAAACTCAATGAAATATTGATCAAGTTTTATTTAAATTATTAGAGAAATTACTCTCTAAATAAGATTAGAAATAAATCAATATATTTAATCAATAAATAGATTTTTTATTTGCTACTACTATTGAGTATTAGGAGTCTTATGGTTAGGTCAATTATTTTTATGTTTCGATTGTTACTAATTTCATTTAGAGAAGGTTTCTATGATAATTTTAAACACTTGGTTCCTATTTAATTAGATTTTTTTTAAAGAAATGAACTATAGGTTTTTAAGTTTGTTTTCTTTATCAATCTTTCATCAACATCTTCATTTCAGTCGTTAACTGTTTCATTGCTGAAAAGACTTTCTCATAAGCCTTTACAAGTAGTTGCTTTGGCAGGCGGGTTGACAACTGAAGAAATGAATTCAAAGATGTTTTAAAATCAAAGTTGATGTCCATCCCTTCAATATTAATTATCAATCTATAATATTATTAAATCATTAGTTTTATACTGCGTTTATCTATAAAACTGTTGACGAAATTAATGTCGTGAAACTAGTTTCGTGTCACTAATTCTACAGTGTAAATTATATATATAACTTTTGTTTTAAATCGTAAAGCAAGCGGGTTTTTTGAAATAAAGTAAAATAATTTAAATAACATTTTTTTTTCTCATTTTAATTAATGTTATTTTATTATTATTATTTAATGTTATTGTATGCTATGTTTATTTTTAAATAATTAGCTTCTTAATGCTACTAAAAATTTGAAATTAAATTATCACAACTATCGTAATCTAAGAAGATTTTGTAACGTACTTTTAATTTATAAGATCTAATGTATTATATCCAAAATCGTAGCAAATAAAAGTATTGTTATTATTATTAATAAAATACATACAACAAAACAAAGAAGTTGAAACAAAAATAACACACAAATACTCGATATAGTCGACAGTAGCAAACTCCGGTTGCGTGAGAGAATAAATTGTTGAGTTGGAGCGAGTAACAAGAATTAATGTCAGTATACAGAGAATTTACATTTATTTAAATAATATAATTCTGCAATATTTAAATGGAAACTAGGTACGTTTTGAAAACAAAGGAAGTGTGTAGATAAAAAGTGTACTGTTTGTACATATACTAGGTACCAGAGTGCGACTGCACATAAATTGTTTGTACGGGTACCTCAGTCCCATTTGTCGTTTCTGCCGTGAAACAGCTGTGTTCACATGCAATTAAATATTATGACTGTAGCTTCTATTTCCTATTCAAGGTTCTTATGTTAGTAATTTTTATGTTCTTATTTTTTTATGATGTTTAATAAATTCGATGAACCATTATATAAGTGGAAACTTTTTAGGCGTTTTTATAATAAGTTTTTATATTAAAACTCAGCTTCTGGATGGTGTATCACAATGAAGCTTATTGACAAGTTCTAGAGTAGTCGTTTATATATACATACCTATAAATAGACAAGATATAAAGAAGGAATAATACCCAAGTCCTCAGGAATGGCAACGCATGCGGGGTATCAAGGGCAAAACAGTATACTCTGTTCATAGTATTGCTCATGTTTATAGACAACGGCTACCACTTACCATAAGGTGAACCGACTGCTGTTTAACTATTCTAAGTTGCATAAAAAAATAACTTTAATAATAATTCACATTTTGTCTTCTGTTACTCTCATTAAGATCTCTTACTGTGGCTCTTCTGTGATCTCTTATTGTGTGGTAGTTTGTATTATTGTTATTTTTTTTATTACTTGATATAGCCATAGATCAATTACAATTTTATATATGTTTGTATAGATGATGAGTATAGACGAATTGATTGATTTGATCATGAACTATGACCTGCACGCAAATATTTCCGGACACAGTCCGGAACTTTGGCGTAACGAGTTGGGCATCGATCGTTATATTTTGTGGGAGTATTTTATGCTACATGACGACACTATAAAATAAATATGGCGGCCATAAACTGTCAAAAACTTACGAAAAACGTTTTTTCTTTATAAAAACAAGAATCTTTCGTTAATTGTCAATATAACGCCTATTCGTAATAAATTGACTTTATTTTATGATAGTATAAAAATATAATATAGAGTTTTTTTTTTAATTCTTTTTACTATAATCTTATTGGTGTAGCAATTTAAAACACTGCCTCATTTTCAAAAGGTTGCGGGTTCGATACAGATACTTGTATTCATGAGTTTTGTGTTAAAATGGGTATTTTATGAATAATATTTATTATGTATTTAGTAATCTATTAGTTGCCTAGTATCCATAATTAACTGCTCAGTTCGGGACTAGATGGCGTTGTGTATCAATATCTGGAGTATTTCTTTTATATTTATTATTCACAAAATAAAACGACGGCCAATTTTATTGCTATTCGTTCACGGTCAACATAAAGTTAACACATAACAACATACATTTAATTAATTGATACTTCCATTACATATGAATTGGCGTAAAAAATACGGCCAAGGATTTTATTTACAATATTATTCGAGCTTATTGAGTACGATTACTCTGAAGGTCTCTGAAGCCACGGATACTTTAAACAGGCAATTGAAGATATTTTTGTGTCATACGGAAATAATAAATATTTTAGCTTTGTAAACAACGTGCCCTTTATTTTATTGCTGTATTATTTTAAATATAAATTCAGTTTACCTATTATATTTTACAACATAACATTGTACGTTTATGTTGACTTGAATAATATCGGAATCATTATGTGTGTACTAAATAAAGATGGGAAATATACAACAATATCTAATATATTGTAGTTATTCTTTATATTGGCCCAATAACAGATATATTAACTATTGGTTCTTCTTTTCGTTTAAGAGTTTCCTCTTGTCGGTGCAACTAATTCATGCATCTTCCTCCAGCCAGCTCTATCCCAGGCCATATCCTTTATCTCCCTATACGACATGATGCCTAGTGTTTCCTTCATCTGTCCCATGTAGTTAATCCTCGGTCTTCCTCTTCCTCTTTTGCCCTCTATCTTTCCTTCTACTATGCTCTTAAAAAAATCGTCATGTCGTATAAGGTGGCCCAGCATTTTGCCTCTTCTATTCTTTATTATTTCAACCAATGTTCTCTTTTCGTTCACTCTTTTTAGTACTTCCTCGTTCGTTAGTTATCCAATATATAATATCAAATATAAGGATCAGTCCCTAATGAATATATACATATCTAACTAGTATGGGTGGTATCGCAATGGGTGATTATCAATGTTCAGAACTCGATATATAGATATTAGATATTATCCATATCTAGCGCTGAAGATTTTTAAGCATTTTCCAAACGAAAGAGGTTAACAAATTCCTATGAATTTTTTTACGATTATACTATGAGATTACGATACCAGTTCTGAGGTGATTTTTAATAATTATTTTTGGAATTGGTAGAGAGTACTCCCGTATAATTTTTACGACTATTGATGCAGCTGATTTTCTTTGTGTATCAAAATCTTGTACACGCGATATCTTCATCAGTGCTGAATCGATTTGGGCAATTCTTCTTACAAGCTATAGGATTCACTTCCGTATTGGCTATAGTTAATATCGCATTTTTTTCGGGACAGTCTTATTTATTTATTTATTCATTAGTACATATATGTGTACATGGCGGACTTGAAGCTAAAAGCATTCTCTCCCAATCAACCATAGGGAAGTGTCAGAATACTCGAATGCGGTACTAGTAATTATTGATATACATACATACTAAAATTAAATATATACACGAATAAATATATATAAATAACAAATATACTTACATGTATATGATATATACTATATTGTACACGAAATTGAGAATAATGTAAAGTACTTACAGCTCGGATAAAGTAAAAAAAGTGAGCATCAACGTTTTATTCAATTATTTATATTTAACCATGTAATATGTTTAAATACCAGACGAAGACTGAATCAGAAAAAAAAATACAATTCCATTTTCGTATTATATTTTGTTAAAATTCATTATAAGTAGACTTTAATAATTTAATTTTAATTTTCTATTTTTACAGCTGACAAGGAGGGTTGCTATATTCACCAGATTAGTGACGTCATACCATTCGGCAGTCAGCTCACACCAATTGGAGAGTGTATCAGGATACAGTGTGGAAAACATATGATACATTATGCCACGTAAGTTAAATAAATAAATATATAACATGATTAAACGTACACCACGGTATTGTGCTCATGAATTAAAGTAAAAACACTGCTAAACATAAGCCTTATATGGACCCCTATATGGGGTGGTGTTGCCAGGAGTTACCACGCTTAGCAGGCGGGTTTTTTTTATGGATGATAATGGAATGGTAACCCCACCCGCGCTATCGGTATATACTGGCGGGGTACCAGTGAGGGATGATAGGTGAAGATGAAAGTAGGTTAGTTAACCCATCGTGACGAATGCAACAAGTATTAGTCACAATGGTTTCCAGGGGGAAGCGCGTGGAGGTCGACCTGACAGGACTTGCTTAGCAACGGGGTCATTAATCCTCATTACTAACAATCCCTATCCATCCTAGCAGGCGGGTTTATAACAGTATTTAGGCTACTGCATCTCTCGACCATTAAGTTTCCTTAGTCGCCTCTTACGACACCCACGAGAACGGAAGGGGTTGCCCATTCTACGCTGGGACCAGACGGTACCCTATGAATATATATACTTTTTTGTGAAATTGTTTGTCATTCTAAATTGTATATCTGGATATTCTGGGTATTTAGATTTTTATTACGATTGTCGGCAATCGTGTAACACAACTTCACGAAAATTATATTTTAATGGAGAATATTTCATTATAATAATAACCAAATATTTTATAATTACAGATGTGGAGTCGTTGGCACGACTGACCCCGAATGTTATGTAACTGATACGGATGTTAGCAGACCATACCCGGATTGTTGTCCTACCGTCAAGTGTGATCTCGACAACAATTTAATATAATTTAAATATATAAAGTAGCATTTAAGAGCATCTAGATCTTCAGTTGCTATTTATTCTCAATAGATTAACACAAAATTATTTGAAGCTAAATTTTACATTCCGAAATTAGTGGCACGAAATTAGTTTCATGACACGAATATTTTGCGTGCATTGGAGAAGAAATTAATGCTTGAATTAATTTATATTAGTAATATAAAACGTTTCATCAACTGAATAATTTTATTTAAATTCGATTAATTAATAAAAATCAATATTTTATAATAATTTAAAATGTGAAACTAGTTTCGTGCCATTAGACTCATAATGTAAATTAGGCTCAAGAGATTAGTGATAAATTGTAATATACGATCGTTTTAAGAATTTGTTTAGATTTATTTATAAATGACGAATGTATGAAAATATTTTAGAATGATTATCCGTATTTGGGATGTTAAATTGAAAAATTTAACCATGCGACAGGACTCGAACCCAAACTCTTTTATTATAATATTATTGATGTGACCACAGAAAGAATATTAATACGTAGAAAATGTTTCAATGTTTTATGTTTCTAATTAAAATTCTTTTAAAATTGATGTGAACGCCATCTACTGTATTACGCATGTAACTGTGTTAGTTTGAGTGTGTTTGGCGGGTCAAATTTTCATTTGGAAAATTGTGTGATTCATTTGAAATTTGTTTGAAAACAAATCGACTGCGTAAGTTTTTGATAGTTTTGTTAGAAAGCTACAAAATATGGTCACAGGTTTACTTAGCAAATCGTGTAAAATCTATACAACCACTTCATTATTTTGAAATATATATTATAGGTTTTATATAATATCTATCAATATTAATATTTTGTACTGTGGCATATTACAAATACCTGTATAATTATGTTATGGTTGCATAGATTCATTTTCACTTTCGTCATTATAAGGGCAGTGCTGACTTTTAAAATAACGTAGTAATTATTTACTCTACAAATTATTGCATTAATTGGAACTTTTCAACTTAAATAAAAAAAAAAGACTGCAAAAGGGAGAATTTTCAACTACATCTTCCTTTTTGTGTACACGTGCCACGATATGGCTTTGTCAATTCAAAACAAATTTTTGACAATTATTTTCTAAAACGATACAGTTCACGTCAATGCATATTGGTTTCATGTACTTATATAAATGAAGTGGTTATTTGTTCCATCAATTAATTGTATCAAAACATATTGCTTGTTAGGTTGTAAACACAATATATTATATAAAAGTCTACCTACCCACCGACTTGTAACAGAAAATGTTTTAAATACATTTCGAACAAGTAAATTTTGATGGTAGTTAAAACATGGAAAACTAAATAATTGTGTTTGAGGTAGTGACAGTCTGTTAGATCCAGAACGAGAGACTGATGTTATGAATTCGTTACTAGTCTAAATCTATGCATGAATGTGAAATAATTTATAAGATTTATTGTAAAATTTAATTTATTTGTGTAATAATAATAATAATTTGTTAATTTAGAGTAACAAGTATGAAATTACTTCTTAAGGATTCCAGTCTCGTTGATAAAATAAAATGATATTTTTTTTACATCATTTACTTATTTAAATGTATCAAGGAGTTATTATACAAAATATTTATTTAATTATATGTTTTAACATGTATGAGCTTATTAAAGCTACATAATTAACGCGATATGGCTGGAATTTGAACGTATTTTGAGGCAACAATGCGTATAATGTTTTTGAGGAACATAAAAGTAGAATTAAACGTAAGTGGCTGAGATATTTGAGTAATTTAACATTAAATATTGTATTTTAACTATTGATGTATAAAAAATCTCAAGATGCACAATTGAGGATTAAGAATTATAATTTCTAACTCAAATATGCTGAAAATGTTCTTGTATTTTTTATAAAACTACGATCTCTAGACATTGATACCACAGTTACAGTATAGAAGTCCACTTATTGGGTTTCCTACGATAACTACCTATTTTAATTATTTTGGCACTTGTATAAATTTTTTATGTGACTGTGGGAATCTAGGTGTTTTTTTTATATCAATGATTTCAATATCAACATTTATAAATATATAATAATCGAGATATTCTTGATATAGGTACGTTTGTAAAATTTAAAATGTATTTTCTATGAAAAGGTAAAATAAGTTTTTTTTTTTATATCTCAATGTGTAAATATTTATCTTCTCTCTCCTTTATTTATAGAAACTTTAAAAGTGTAATAAACCCATTTAAATTATTGATGTTTCTATCTCTTTCTTTCTAGACATACGATTAATTTGAAATAAAAAATACAGTCTTATGGGTTTATTGATGGTTTTTCGTTTTCATAATTAAGTGATTAAATTTAAGAGGTACTATTCAATTTTTTTTTTAATAACAATTGTTATTGATTTTGTATTTAGATGCTCTTATATGTGTTTACGTGATAGAGTTCCTTTATAAGAGTTTAGATACTGATTGATAATTATTTTTGTTCTAGAAGCTATCTTGCCACCAAATTGTTGTTTTTTTTTTATTTTATTAAAATAAATAATGTCTTGTATTTTGATTTTTTTTTAATGAATTGCAATATTTTCCCGCCAATTTTCATATAATAGTAACTAAGATTATGTAGGTGGAGTATCAAGTGTGAATAACGGGCAAACTTTTAGTTTTTTTTTTTTAGTACATTTGTTCCGTTGTGGAACAGGCTTAGGTCGGAGACCATGCTACCTAGTCTTCAATATGATAATTTGTCTGGAATTCCAACTTTTAGTAAGACACGTCAAAATGGCTGACACATTTGTTTTAAATCAAATCGAGCGCATTTATTTAGTGTTACAAGTAACTAGATTAAACATTTCCTAGATTTTTTAATTATAATCGGAAATTATTTTTGTAATGTAATGTAAATATACATTGCTTACAAATGAATTACCAGAGGGAGATTTTGTACAAAAGTCGTTTGCTTGGGCACCTCTGTCCTATTCGTGTTTCAACTGTGAATCAGTTGTGTTTGCATAGCTTTTGTTGCATAGGTTTAAAGGGTGGGATATGGCGTGAATTTACTGGGTACAGAGGAATAACACCTGAGTCCTCAGAAATGGCAACGCCATGCAGTGTTCCGGTTTGAAGGGTGGGATATGGCAGTGAATTTACAGAGTACAGAGAAATAATACCTGATTTCTCAAGAGTGGCAACGCATGGGGGGAGGGTATCACGGGCAATCAGATGTCCATGTCTATAGACGACGGTTACCACTTTACACATCAGGTAGGCCGTCAGATTGTTTGCCTTTCTTAATTGTATAAAAAAAAATTAGATAATTAATTAAAATGGCGACCATTTTCAATTAACTAAAAATTAACATACATTTTATGTCTATATTCAGATATCATATTATCAGTATTTAGTAAATCAAGCATCATCGTGAATCATTATAGACTATTTATCTGGTTCTTTCAAATATAAAAATTTGTATTAGACTTTATTTATCAATTTAACTTTACTACATAATTTTTCCCATATAATTAGTAATAAATGTGGCAACTCTGTTCACGCATCATAGATAAAAAATTGACTTATTTTTATTGAAGCGTTTGTATAAAGACACTATTTATATAATGCAAGAATATAAATAGATACTTTATAAATGTTAGATTTTATATAAAAATTAAATTTTAATGATTCTATTTGTTGAATAAACTACTTACCAATCTACTTTTTAAGTTACTTAAAATACATCGTTAATTATATATAAAGCTGTATTGTATTGTTTCTTTGCCTTGTTTTTTTTTAATAGAGATAATGTAATATTCCAGTCATAACTTAAAATAGTACAAGGGTTTCCAATTAAATAATAAAAAGTCTAGATGTCTCCCGTCACATAGACCAAAAAATGTTCTATGAAATCTATGCAAATATATTATTTATTGATTTAAAAAAGTTCCTTTACTAAATAAAGTTTTAAATGACAGCTACTGATATCGATATTTTGGACAAAAGCATTCTACAAATATAATAGTTATCGTCATTAATATTATTGTATTGATAATACTAGATGGTTGCATAGATTCATTTTCCAATTACGTCAATATAAGGGCAGTGGCGACTGCTTAATAACAATGTGATTACTATTCTGTGGTGGTTGTAAACGATTAAAATGTTCAGTTCGTCCCGAATTCCACAAAATCAACACTTGACATTATTGTAAAGTGCCTTGACCTTGTTTATGTGACCCGTGGTTTCGTGCAAGGTAGGTATCTACTGATAAAGATAATACATAAATATTTTGTATTGCAAATTATTTATCAGTAAGTATAATTAATAGTGATGTGGTCATCGAAATTTGAAGTTCTATTAATGTTCTATTTTTTATTCGTGAGTTTTTCAATTGATCCAGAAAATACGTTTTTAGTGTCATAATGGATTTAACATCATTATTTCGGCCATTGGCTGTTCACTGTTGAACTTAAGCCTTCCCTATAAGAGGAGTTTTGTCAGTAGTTGCTACGTTTGGCAGGCAGGCAGGTTTGCTAACTGCAGTTAGATTTTTAGAGATGTTTTAAGATGCTGTTGTTGTTCCCTCTTAAGTTTTTTAGTCGCCTCTTACGACACTCACAGGAAAGGAAGGAATGGCCCATTCTATGCTGGGATCACACGGCCATACTAATAATAATAGTGGTTAATTTTCAAATGTTGGCAGTCCCACGAATACTAATGGTAGCGGAATTAAAAAAAATAATCCACTAACTATTTCAAAATTAATTTAAGCATGCATATATATTATCATAACATACCTACAATTGTATCATTGTTTTTTCAATGGACGATAATGGAAAGGTAACTCCGCCTGCACTAACGGTATACGCTAGCGGGGCGCCAGTGAGGGTTTTTTTTTAATGGGTGAAATTAGAATGGTAACCCCGCCTGCACTAACGGTATACACCGACGAGGCACCAGTGGAAGATGATAAGTGAGGATGAAAATAGGTCAGTTAGCCCATCGTGAAGAATTCCACGAGAATTAACCACAATGGTTTCCAGGGGGAACCGCGTGGAGGTTGACCTGACAGGTCACATTGTCAACAATGGAGGTGTTAAACCCCATTACTAACAATTCCTTTCACCCCCGCCATTGAGGGTTGATAGGTGAGTATGAAAAGGCAGACCAGTTAGCTTATTGTGATGAATAAACCTGGAATACAGCACGATAGTTTCCAGGGGGGACCACGTGGAGGTCGACTTGGTTGGGCATATTGCTAACAATGGGACTGGTAGTCCGTATTACTAACAATCCCTTCCCCTCTATTGTATTATTCTTATATTTGTTACATATAAATACAGAAGTAACAAAATTTTTCATCGTGCCTCCCACCAAATTGTTTATAATTACTCCCCTCCATCCAAAGGTTGCCTGGAAGAGATCGCTCTTAGCGATAAGGTCGCCCATTGTTTTCTCATTGTGATTATTTCTTGCAATTGTTTATATTTATAATAAGTTTACTATTGTAATCTTTTGGAGGAAACAATAAAGAGTATCTATCTATCTATCTATCTATAAAATGCGAATCAATAGTTCACTTTAAATTAACAGAGCATCGATAAGCAGATGGCCAGTTGCATTACGTGATTTCAAAACACAATTCTGTATTGCTCTGTTTTCAATCGAGTTTAGGCGTTACCTACTTGTTTTTTTTTTAATTAAAAATGTTACGAATTTTAATTACTATTGGTTTTTTAAAAATAGCATATGCAGCTACTGGACTAACTGATTTGCCACAGAAACCTGCCGAGTTCGGTGAGTTTCTTTACTAATTTAATTAATTAGATTCTCTCAAAGTTATACTTATTTCAACAATAACAACTTTTTGCTTGTATTAAATATTAAATACTTATGGAAGAAATAAATTAAATGTGCTATTTATAACTTGAGGAATAAGTTCATTTGATCACTGTCAATACTTTAATGTTATTATAATTACCAGAGGGAGACTTTGTATAAAAGTCGATTGCTTGGGTACCTCTGTCGCATTCGTGTCACGGTAGGTGAAGCAGTTGTGTTTGCATGGCTGTGTTTCGGTTTGAAGGGTGGAATATAGCAGTGAATTTACAGGGTACAGAGGAATAACACCTGAGTCCTCAGGAATGGCAACGCATGGGGAGTATCATGGGCGAAACAGTATACAGTAAACAGTATTGAGGGTTTAGCCAGTAGTTGCTACGCTTGGCAGGTAGATTGGCAGCCGTAGTTTTTTTTTATGGGTGAAAATGGTATGGTAACCCCGCCTGCGCTAACGGGATACGCTGGCGGAGCACCAGTGAAGGGTGATAGATGAGAATGAAAACAGGCCAGTTAGCCCATCATGATGAATTCATCAGGAAATATATATGATAGTTTCCAGGGAGAACCGCGAGGAGGTCGACCTGGTTGGGTATATTGCTAGCAATGGGATTCTTAGTCTCCATTACTAACAATCCCTTTCCCCCGGCAGCCGCAGTTAGGCTTTAGAGATGTTTTAAGAGGGACGCTGTTGCCTATCCCTCGCCAGAATACAGTTGGGGCTGTCTCGCACTCTGCAGAGCAGTGACTCAGATCGTTTACGAATAATAGTGTAGAAACAATGCATATGCATTTTAGCTAACATTCCCGATGCACTGCAGAATCGAGGCAGCTCCGTTATTGGCCCCATTAATGTATGTTTTTTCTTTCCTCAGCCCATATAGAAGGATGCTACATTAAAGAAATAAACGATGTCGTACGTGTCTCTACATACTTAACTCCTATTGGATCTTGCGTACGAATTGGTTGTTTAATAAACAATTTAGACTATGCGACGTGAGTAGTTTATTAATATTATTTTAAACTTTAGTTACATAAGGGGGATTTTGTACGAAAGTCCTCTGCTTGAGGATCTCAGTCCCACATGGTGGGTGATCGTCCTTCACGGCCTTTGCTCGCACGAGGTCGTCATTCAAGAACCTGAGAGAGACTGTACAAAAGTCGTTTGCAAGCATCCCTGTCCCATTCGTGTTTCAATCGTGAAGTGGTTGTGTTTGCATGGCTGTGTTTCGGTTTGAAGAATGGGAATAATGGAATATGGCAGTGAATTTATAGGGTACAGAGGAATAACACTTGAGTCCTCAGGAATGACAACGCATGGGAGGTGTTATGAGCGAATCAGTATACTGGTATGTCGATGGTGCTGCTCATGTTTATAGGCGACGGTTACCACTTTCCACCAGGTGGGCTGTCAGCTTGTTTGCCATTCTAAGTTGCATAAAAAACCTTTCTTCCCCATAGGTTGTCGGTTCTTCGAGCTACGTGACCAACTCATTGCTACTTTAGCTTGCTTATTAGGACAACCTACCTACTTACCTACCTTTTAAAATATTAATTAATTGAGTAAAAACATTTTTCTATTAGCCACATTTTTATTTTCTTTTTGAATGAACTATTTAAATTTTTAATTCACGTTTCTCTATTTTTAATTGAATTAGGTGCGAACATTTAAAAAACAACCATATTAGTCCAGCCGTAAAGTGTTTAATTATTTTTTTCCTTTACAGCTGCCCCGTTGTTTTCACCGAGGACCCCAAGTGTCACGTCACCGAATCAGACACCAGCAAATCATATCCCCACTGTTGTCCGAATATTAAATGTGACGAAGACAATAAATTATAGACATATGTATATTGATATCTTCAACTCGAGTCTGAATGCCTTTCGAAACATTTTATAAACAGCCGTCAAGTCTCTTTAACATATTTAAATTTTTACACATTTTTGTTCTTTGCATTCGTTCCTTCATTGTTACTTACCACATTCATATCTTTTCTATTTATAATTTAACATTGTTTGCCAACTGCTTTAACTATGCCCTGTATACACCTCTCTGGGTCTCAGTCTAGTTCATACTATTGTTTCTCTATAAATGTGCCAGCTACCAATCTTTTTCAAACCTACGTAGTTTTAGAAAAATAAACAGCGACGTGCTTGATAATCTTCTCGTCTTAGCAATTAATTTTACCGAACAATAGATAGATAGATAGATACTCTTTATTGTTCCCTCCAAAAGATTACAATAGTAAACTTATTATAAATATAAACAATTAAAATTATATATTAATAATATTGTTGTATCGTGACATATTATCTCTGAATTAATTTATTAATATTCATTGTACAATCTTGTACTAAATCTTTCTTTCTCTTACTCCTTCTAAATTTATATATATAAATATCATCAAGCCTACATCTACAAACGATTTTAATATTATGGATTAACCTGTTGTGTATACCTAATAAATAAAAAAAAAAATTACAATGTGAAAATCACTAAATAACCAACGAGAAATAGCTGTATAATATTTTAACTTAAACATATTTGTTTATTTATTTGCTTCTTTTATTTATTTAAACTTTAATGTACAGTGAAACTCTTTGTACATTTGGCGGACTTAAGTCCGCCAAGAACACCATTTGGTGTTAACACCAGATGGTATATATATATCAGTCAACTATTGGGCAAATCGAGAAATAAGTAGGCGGTGCATTATTGAATAGAGGAAATATAAAAAATAATATTTTGTTTGTTCATTTCTTATTTATTTTATTTTGATTTAAATATTATATTTTGAAATAAAATAATAATAAATTTGTAAAAGGTAATAAATTTGTATTGTTATTTTTTCCAGTGTGGTCCCGGTATAGAATATACCACCTGTTCCTTTCACGTGGGAGTCGTAAGAGGCGACTTAGAAGGAAAGGCAGTAGAGTCTCTCTTAAAACGAGAGCAAAGGTTAACTACGGTTGCCAAACAGCCTGTCGAGCGTGGCAACTATTAGCAAAACCGCCCAAGATCGAGTTCTATGTTCAGCAGTGGACAATTAATGACTAATTTTATGATGATATTGATGATGATGATGATGATGATGATGAATGTTATTTTATTTAGTTGAAACGTAAAGGTAAAGAGCTTTTCTGTCGTATTGCAAATGTGTTTGTATGCTCGCCTGCGCTATAAGTATACACTGGTGGAGCTGAGGAAGTTAAAGAACGAGTAAGGATGAAAAACACCAGGGCCTCTAGACAAGTGACAAGCGAATTCGTCGATGGAATCGACATCGCTAGCGAGCTCGTGAGTTGAAGTGAGACATCGGACGTTGCTATCTCATTCTATCTCACGGACTAGCTAGCGATGTCGATTCTATCGACGAATTCGTTTGCCATTTGTCTAGAGACTCTGGTCAGTTAGCCCAACGTGACGGATTGAACGATAAATTAGTCATGATAGTTTCCAGGGGGAATCGCGTGGACGTCGAATTGATAAGGTATATTGATAGCAATGGGGACTAACCTCTCCATTACTAATAATTCCTTTCCTCTGCAACGCATGAGGTGTATCATGGGCATCATAGTGCATCCCATGATATCCATGGTGCTGTCCACTTCTTTATTCTACCGGGTATCACGTTCCATCAGGTGGACCATCAGTTTGATTGCCATTTTAAGTATCATGAAAAGGAAAGTTTTGATGTGATTTTTTTATTCTTTTTTTATAGTGATTAGGTAATTATGAGTAGATTAAGTGTTGGTTAAAAATTGACAAATATGTTTTTTTTTTACTCGTTTAATTTCGTAGAATTTTGAAGTGTGGCATAATCGCAACATTCTGGATAAGGTTTGCTCTTGTCCCCTTCGACATATGTCCAGCCTTCGGCTTCTATAATTTTGAAATCAGCACAACTGAAAGAGAGATTTGTTATTAATATATATATACCTGTTTCACGTGGCTTTGCCTGCACGAATCAGTATATAGAATATCCTATATTTTAAATTAGATCCTAGCCTACTTGTGTATCAGGTTTCATTCAAATCTGTCTACCGGTTTAAGCATGATTTAGTAACAAATATATACCTGCACTATGTGTAAGGTACACAAAAAAAGTAAAATACTGTAACAGGATTATTTATCTGTGCATTAATACACTAAAAAAATTGAAATGTATGTAATACTTCTTACTATAAAATAAATAAATAATAATAGAAAATAATGGAGGAACTTGGTACAAAGACCAGAGGTAGACCATTCGAAAGTAGTTCGGATTAAACTATTTAGAGTCATAAATAGAATGTACTTAACTGTATTTTTAAGTACATACAAATGTACGACCGGACTGGAAACCCCATTATTTTAATATTTTGCTTATTAAAAGCTACGTATTCGCCTGGCTTTCAAGTTAGGATGTCTTATCTTATGAGGAACTAAGCAACGAGTATTAGTGGCATAACCCAGAACAATGAAACTGAGTCAATATTTTTCATACCACTGAGGTGGCAGACAAGCATACGTTCCATGTGATGGTAAGCAGTAACCGTTGCCTATGAATGCTTGTAATATCTGGGACCTCTCAGGGAAGAAACCCCTTAATCCCTTTTTTGAAGAACCCCATTTTTTTTTATACAACTTAAAATGGCAAACAAGCTGACGGCCCAACTGATGGAAAGTGGTAACCGTCGCCTATAGACATGAGCAGTACCATGGACATAACAGAGTATACTGTTTCGCCCATAATACCCCCCCTGCGTTGTCATTCCTGAGGACTCAGGTGTTATTCCTCTGTACCCTGTAAATTCACGCCATATCCCACCCTTCAAACCGAAACACAGCCATGCAAACACAACTGCTTCACGGTTGAAACACGAATGGGACAGAGGTATCCAAGCAAACGACTTTTGTACAAAGTCTCTTAAAAACCTCGACAGGGAGCTCATTCCATAATGTGAGAGTTCATGGTAGGAAATATATGTGAAACCGCGCTGTACGCGACCATCTAGGCTTTAAGGTATGGGATTTAACTCCCTGTCGATGGCGAGCTGTTTGAATTTAAACAAATTCGTTTACTAAATTGAATTCGGTGCCTCATTTGCGAAAAATAAAGTGAAGTCCATTATCACGGAGGTAAATAATTTTGAAGTCGGTTCAAATAAAAACATCAAAGGACTTACGTAACTCCCGACATGTTGCCTGAACCATGGCACGTATAATACATACAGCTACCATCGGCTGGAGCATAAGTCTCATTTATCTTCAAGATTTGACCATCGAAATTACACGTTATGGCATCTGAAAGTAATTGAAGCTAATAATTAAAGAGAATAACATGTTAACTAATTTTTGAGTAAGTTTGTTTCTTTTTTAACTCTTAGCGTGCTAACGGTTTAACCGGGGGGAAAGGGATTGTTAGTAATGGAGACTGAGAATCCTATTGCTAGGAATATATCCAACCAGGTCGACCTCCTCGCGGTTCTCCCTGGAAACTATCATGGTTAATTCCTGATGAATTCATTATGATGGGCTAACTAGCCTGTTTTCATTCTCATCTATCACCCTTCACTGGTGCTCCGCCAGCGTATCCCGTTAGCGCAGGCGGGGTTACCATATCATTTTCACCCAATAAAAAAAAAACGGTTTAACCGATCACTATTAAATTTGTATTCTGTAATAAATATTTATTGAAGTCGTTATTTTTCTCTTTAATTTTGAAATCAGGACAACTGAAAGAGATTTGTTATTAATATAATTAGCTGTTTCACGCGGCTTTGCCTGTATGAATTAGTATATAAAGTATCCTATATGTTAAATTAGATCCTAGCCTTTATAATAGATATTACCATCCCTGTTGTATTGATTGTCGTATAGACTCAGCATAGAATATGCCATATCTTTTCCGTGGGTATCATAATAGGCGACTAAGGGAGGGCGAGCGATGGGCAACAGCGTCCCTCTTAAAACATCTCCAATACCTAACTGAGGTTGCCAACCCGCCTGCCAAGCGTGGCAACTACTGACAAAACCCCCCTTATGGGGGAAGTCCCAGTCACGCGGACAGAATCTCTGGTCATCATCATCATTTCAGCCATTACTCTCAAGTTACATGTACTGTTTAAATTATTTTTCAAATTTTCTTATTTTACGCGTTAACAAATCGGTACTTTTACTTCGCATAAGTTTATTTTTGTTCATTAAGAGTAAAACAATAGTATAATAACTTATAGATCGTGTAACTATCCCAATTGTATTAATTTGTTTTAACACCGTGTAGTTGATGCGGCACACAAAACACGAATGAGAACTAGAATCGCGACGCACGCACACACACTCATTTTGGATGAAACTGTTATTATACGAATTGTTTTTCTTTTTCCTTTTTTAAATTTTATATTCTTTTTTTTATATATAAATATTGTGTGTAGTTTCGTTGTTATAATTCTTAATATTTTTTTTTAACCCCTGTATGGGTGTAGTCGCATATTTGTGTAGAATAAAGTTTCTTTCTTCCTTTCTTTCTAGGTATGGCATCGGCCCGAATGTCGAATCAGTGTAACTCCTTTAAAATTTGATCCTTTTTTATTCTCTTGTATTTTTTTTTTATAAAAATGAAACCTAAATTGTGTGCTGATGCGGTTTATAAGATAACGGACTACATGGTATACTTAAATAAATAATTAAACTATAATTACATGCCACAACATGTATTTGTTGTGTAAGTAATAGCCAAAATTTTGTCCACGGACAAATTATCTATCGCGTACGCAGATCTTTCGACGGAAATTAACTTCGTCGTACTGTGATTTTAATTATGATATTTAAACTTGTTGAATTCAGCTTCGAGTTTTAGAGTAAGGAACTTTTTTGGGTATTGTAGTGTTTGGAGACTTTGTATAAAAGTCGATTGCTTGGGTACCTCTGTCCCATTCGTGTTTCAACCGTGAAGCAGTTGTGTTTGCATGGCTGTGTTTCGGTTTGAAGGGTGGGATGTGGCGTGAATTTACTGGGTACAGAGGAATAACACCTGAGTACTCAGGGATGGCAACGCATGGGGGGTATCATGGGCGAAACAGTATACACTGTTATGTCCATGGTACTGCCCATGTCTATAGGCGACGGTTACCACTTTGCATCAGGTGGGCCGCCAGCTTGTTTGCCATTCTAAGTTGTATAAAAAGAAATCCACTTTGGATTATGTTTTGTTTTGATATTTTCTGAACGTACTCTAATTTACTATTGTATTGATTGCCGTGTGGTCCTGGGATACAGTCGGCCACCCTATTCTTTTCCGTGGGTGTCGTAAGAGGCGACTAACAGTACTTAATGGTCGAGTGATAGACAGCAGCGTCCTTTTTAAAACATCGTTGTAATTTACGATGTAATATTATTGTAATGTACGGTGTAATATATGTAGATAGATATATAATTTATTTCCATTACTTACAGCACTGAAATAACATTAAATATTGTTATATATTTAAAAAGAAATAATAACAAAATATATACAAAAAAAAAACAAAGTTCATAAAAGAGGTATAGATTTACGATGTAATGTATGATGTAATGCATGGTATTAAAAATATTGCCTAAAATATTTTTATTGTAAGTTACGGTAGAGGTAATTTCGGTTTGTTAAAGAAATTCGAATAAAAAAATATTTCAATAATAAAAATATGTATATTATTTAAATTTTAATAAATAAATAAATTAATTTTAATAATCCGCATCGTCAGTAGTGAACACAGCAAAGTCGCAGCACATTGGATACGGTTTAGTCTTGATGCCGTCAAACTTCTCCCAGCCTTTTGTTAGTTTTATTACTTTACATCTAAAAGAAAAAAAAAAGAATACATATATTAACTTACATGAATATTTTCTTTTCGGTTGATCGTACTAGTGGATCGTATTTTTTTTAATACATGACAATGGAATGGTAACCCCGCCTGCTCTAACGGTATACGCTGGCGGGTTACCAGTGATGAACGATAGGTGAGAGTGAAAGGGTAGGTCAGTTATCCCACTGTGATGTATACTGCTAGAATTTAGCATGATGGTTTCCAGGGAGGCTACGTTCCTGTTTTGGTTCAGGATGGTGAGGTCATATCGTCATAGTCGTAGAATACTGACGGATCTTTATATGTAATATTTGTCAGATCCGTCAGTATTCTACGACTATGACGATATGTTGTGATTAAAATCATTGGGATCATTTCTGGGACATCATTTCTTGAAAAAACATTTCTTAAGCTAATATTTTAATTTAAAAGTTACAGTTTTATGGACCATTATAAATTAAATTTATAATAATTTTGACTCAAATCTATGAAAGACAAAAATATTTTTATTCAAGTAAACTTAGATTTAAGCATTATTGAATAAACATTTTATTTTTATTATCGCCCATTCGGAACGCAATTTCAGCCAAGAAGAACGAGCAAGAAACAGAACTGCGGGTCTACCATGAAATGAAATTCCGAAATTTCAGATTCAATTTCTTGTTTTTGTTTATACCAAAATCGGACCAATAAATGGAGTTTAACATTTCGTTCGTCATACATCCTATCATAAAAGTCCAAAGGAACAATATTTTAACATTTTTAATATTTCCAAACGGCATGTATTATGTAATTTTAACATCAAATTTGTGTTTCGTTTGGTTCCGAAATTTTGGAAAACATTTCATGGTAGGCTCTCTGTTGCTTTTTTAAAAAGAATAATTATATATAAAAAAAAAATAATTTGTGTGAAAATAAACTACTAAGAATTATGAAATCATAAAATTTCTATTAGAAATTTTGTTGGTCTATAAAAAAAAGGTTTTGCTCTGATATAGAATTGAAATTTTAACATTAGATATGTACCTATTGAGAAATGGCGTCTCAGAATCGTCTCCATTGGAATTCTTTTAAAGGAGTGTTTTGCTAATGTAATTGGATATTAAAATTTGAAAATAAATTCGTCGAAAAACCATGAAAAGGAGTTTTCCACAATACGGGTAGTCTAGCAACTGGATATAAACATGTACATTACTCAGATTTATCTATACAATAAGACATATTTACGAATACAAATATTTGTATTGTGCAGGAATCGAACCTGTAACCATTAGAGAATGAGTCGGGTGATGATTTGAATAGTCATCAATAAATTCATGCTAAAGTTGAAAGTTATCTATAAATATATATATCTATAGTATATATATTATAGTATATATATATATATATATATATATATATATATGTATATATATATATATATATATATATATATATATATATATGACGAAGGGTTTAAAGGATGGGATATGGCAGTTAAATTACAGGGTGTGGATCTATAACAATGTACTCCACACATGTTTTACCATCAACTGGTGAGTATTTCTCATTTAATGGCAACACCATGTTTAAATCTTTAATGTAGCAACCTTCTTGGTTAGCTGAAAGAAAAGACAAAAATGTTTTACTACAACAATTATAATATTATATGAAGGTGTGAATCGGTAATGTGATGATAAGAAGATGGTCCCTGCTGATGTAGGTAGGTTGAGCGTAAAAATCCCAAAAGGCGACATCTAGCGAGTAGGCATGGAATTTTTCATAAGTAACATGTGAAATTACTAATGAAATGTGAACTCTTAAGTAGCAATTGCTATTTCTCTTTATACAGTTATGTTATACAGTACAAGTAGTGCTGCAAATGAAATGAAAAATCGCAGGTTTTAACAGTGATCAGATTTCATTGCGATGAAATGAAATAAAATCACAGTTAAGAGCGAGCAAATAGACTATATCACACTGATCACAAAAATCATTGTTCATATAAATTTTTGTAATTTAAACCTTAGGAAATAAAATTATATAATTATGATTAATGTCTACTAGTAAGTAAGAAAGATTTTTTTTTAAGTCTCAACCTTTTTGATAGCCCATGAATGGATGCAACATTAATGACATAATGCTTTATGACATACAAGTCCCAGTACCCAGCAGTTTCCATACCACATACCCTTTAAACCGAAACACAGCATGCAATTTGGTTGCAAAAATAGTTAAGAAAGAAGTCTCCATGCAGAAAACTTTGTTCAACTTCTAACTCTAGTGACTCTTTTAATTACTGGATAAAATGGGCATTAAATAGGAATTAACTGCAAAAGGTTTAAGTTGATGACGAATAAAACAGCCACCTTGATTAATAAATCAGTATTTTGATTATATTGGGATTATTGATTCATATCTGATTATGATCCTTTATATTATTGAAGTAAATAATATTTTTTTTAAAGCAAAAAATAAATAATCAATAAATAATAAAAAATAAATAAATAATCCATTTCGCATGTTGTGGATACAATATTATTTATTTACAATTTATTACACCATTTATAAAAATAAAAAAAAAAAGTGAATTTTAATTAGAAATGATACAAAGGCCGCCTGATTGCTAAGCAATCTCTTTCAGACAACCTTTGGGTAGAGGACATTGAGAAAAAGACAAAGGGTAGGTGGTGCACTATTATATAAATTCTAATGTATACAAATATATATAAATTGTTATATTTACAAATTAAAATGATGCAACGCAAAAAATGATTTCCATCATGACAACTTTAATAGGAGACCCACACTAGGACAATTTATTCTTACCTTACGAAGAGAAGAGGATCATTAAAATCGGTCAGATTCGACGAAGATAAAAAATACAGTCGAATATAGGATGTCTTCATCCTTAATTAAATAAAAATGTATGGCAGTATTCCAAAACAATAAACCCTAGCTTTATCCTGTTTCGTGCACAGTTGACTTCTAAAGATGAATTCGTTTCAATGAAATTTAATTATAATGTAATCAAATCAAATCAAATCAAATCAAATGTAAACAAACGAACAATTGATCCAATCATAAAACTGTCTGCTTATATTTAATAGTAGTACTGGGAGGGAAAGGGATTGTTAGTAATGGAGTTTGACAGCCCCATTGCTAGCAATATGCCTTATTAGGTCGACCTCCACGTGGTTCTCCCTGGAAACCATCGTGAACAATTCTTGTTGAATTCGTCACGATGGGCTAACTGACGTACTTCATTTCCTCGCCTATCAACCTTCACTGGTGCCCCGCCGGTGTATACCTATAGCGCGGGTGGGGTTACCATTCCATTATCATCCATTAAAAAAATAATAGTAGTACTAATAAAATATTAATTGATTGATTAAATGTTCCGATTACTTAACAATAGAGATGTTCGAATTTACTAATACGACTACTAATTATTCGACTGAGGAAATTATTCGAATTTACCAAATGATTTTCAAATTATTCGACCGCAAATTTTTGGATTCCACTACTAATTTTATTGATTTTAATCGCTAAAATCATTTATTAGTATAGCTACAATCATTCATGTACGAGTAAGTACGAAGGTAACTAATCGCTGGAATGATGAGACTTTTTGCAAATTTTTTAATTGTATATGCACTAAAAATTTGCAACTGTTGATACTGGCTATCAATAAAAAAAATTGTAGTTTATTCACACGTTAAATTATTAGTGCTTTAAATCGAATTACTAATTAGTAGAATAATTTGATTACGAAAATAGTTTATTATTATTTTAGTAGTCGAATTATATTATTAGTATTTTTTTTTATAATACTTAGAATGGCAAACAAGCAGACGGCCCACCTGATGGAAAGTGGTAACCGTCGCCTATAGACATGAGCAGTACCATGGACATAACAGAGTATACTGTTTCACGCATGATACTCCCCATGCGTTGCCATTCCTGAGGATTTAGGTGTTATTCCTCTGTACTCTGTAATTTCACTGCCATATCCCACCCTTCAAACCAAAACACAGCCATGCAAACACAATTGCTTCACGGTTGAAACATGAATGGGACAGAGGTACCCAAGCAAACGACTTTTGTACAAAGTCTCCTTCTGGTATTATATGTACTAAAAATTAGCAATTGTTAACATCAGCTATCAATAAAAAAATTGTAGTTTATTCACATATTAAAGTAGTGAATACAGGGAAAGGGTTTCTTCATTATTAGTGCTTTAAATCGAATTACTAATTAGTAAAATTATTCGAATACGAAAATTAGTATACCACCAATTTAGTAATCGAATTATAATATTAGTAATTACTAATTATTCGAATAACAAAATTATTCGGATTCGCGCATCGTTAGTTAACAATTTCATTTAGAGAGAGAGAGAGTTTCTGTGATAATTTCAATAAAACTTGGTTAACTTTTTATAAAGTTCTATTGAAACTGACTTTAATTACTAATATTCAAATAAGTTACTTTTATTGTTTTATTATGTTTATTTATTGAAATTAGTATTATTGTTTATTACAATTCTTTTATTTCCTTTTAATTACTATAATAATTTTTACAATCTATTTATCACAGTATAAATTCTAACGTTTACAAAATAACTATTTAGATAGGTATTCATATCTTGTTAGCTGTTAGTATGCAGTGAGCAATCTACGTAATAGAAGGAAAAAATTGCACATTGTTACTAATAAGATATACTTATTATATGTCTAGTGGGATTTCCCTCAGTATAGGCACGTTTATTTTTAATATTTTTTTTTAAATAGATGTAGGTAATTGAAATATTGTATATTCGTAATAAAGTACTGAAATCAAACTATAATTTAAAGTCATTTATAATATCGTCATAGTCGTAGAATACTGACGGATCTGACAAATACTATTACATATAAAGATCCGTCAGTATTCTACGACTATGACGATATGACCCCCTATTTATTAAAAACATTAAACCCTTTATAAAACTATTATATTTTAGCTATTGAAATGTTTTGTCCCTTTCTTTTACACTAATCTCTCAATTTGAAAGACAGTGATAATATACTCTAATAGTAAAAAATGGTTTGTAGGACGTTTTAACTTTATTAAGGGGGTTTAATGTTTAAAAATCAATAATTTAATATTTTTGTTTAATTAATGAATATTTTTGTGGAAGTACAAGGAAATACATGATTAATTAATAGTATATCTGAGTATCATATGCTTTATTTGAGAAATGATTAACTCTCCATACAAAAATTCATTTCCTATTTTTTTTTATACAACTTAGAATGGCAAACAAGCTGACAGCCCACCTGATGGAAAGCGGTAACCGTCGCCTATAGACATGAGCAGTACCATGGACATAACAGAGTACACTGTTTCACCCATGATACCCCCATGTGTTGCCATTCCTGAAGACTCAGATGTTATTCCTCTGTACCCAGTAAATTCACGCCATATATATGGGCGTAAAAAGTTATATAGATAGACAGACTAAACAAACATAATAAACATAATACCAGAAGTTGTACACTTGACAGGCAAGTTGACAATTTTTAGGTTAACACAGGCTTTGTTGATGCTTTAATATGGACGCTGCTGTCCATCCTTCGGCTATTAAGTTCTTTTAATCGCCTCTTACGACACCCACGGGAAAGGAATGGGGGATCCATTCTATGCCAAGATTATACGGCGTGCCGTATTAGTAATATGTCCGAATTAGTAACTATATTATCAAAGTATTATATTATGGAGCAAGTAGCTTGCTTTTTAAATATTGTTTTTTTACAATGCAAGGTAAAATTTAGCAGTTCAGTGGTAGATCCGAGAGCTTTGGAAGTTTGAAAGAAAACAAATAAAAGTTTGAAAGGTACTGTCTGTTTTAGTAATTTACATAAAAGGTCAAGTGTGTGTCGTCGGTAGGGGAGGTAAAATGTTAAGCAAATTTCGATCGCAAGTAGGTATTACGTAGTATGTTGTGTTTAAATGACACTTGGTGAAAATGTAAATTAAATTATAAATTATAATTAAAATATTAAAAAAATCGTAACATTTTTTTATATCACTATGGTGGCAAACAAGCATACGGCCCGTCTGATGGTAAACAGAGTTACTGTAGCCTATGGACGTGACACCAAGGGTGTAACGAGCGCGTTGTTGACCCTTGAGAAACTTTAATGTAACCTTAATCTTTATGAAGAACCCCACGCTGTATTTTCTAGAGAAAGCCTCGGCAGGATGATCATTTCACAACCTGAGTGCTCGCGGTAGGAAACTCCTTTGAAACCGCACTGTACGTGATCTTTCTAGTTCTAAAGTGTAAGGATTTATTTCTTGCCGATAGCGACCGATACGATGGTGAAAGGTGGCTGTAGGCATCATAGTTGACGTTGAAGAGTTATTCAGAGCACAATCCGTTGTACAGGCGGTAGAAGATGCAAAGAGAGGCAAAGTCTCGTCTTAAATTAAGAGCTCGATAACGTTTGTTAACCTGTCTACTGATATACTGTATTGGTACAGATAAGAAGTTATCTAATTTATTGAACATTTAAATTTGTTATTATTCTCATTTGTGTTTTATCAAAACTTGATTGGGTCATTTACAGCCGGACCTCTGCCCAATTTCAGTGGATCTTTCAACTGTGCTTTCAATTTCAAATCCCCAGAAAAGTTGATGTATTGTTTTTAATAACAAAGGGGGTAAACGAGCATACAGCTCACTTGATCATAAGTGACTACCGCTCAAGATCACCCGCATGGGGAAGGAGATTGTTGGCAATGGGGTTTGATAGCCTCATTGCTAGCAATATGCCCTATTAGGTCGACGTCCACGTGGTTCCCCCTGGAAACCATCATAAACAGTTCTTGTTGAATTTGTTACGATGGGCTAACTGACCTGCTTCATCCTCACCTATCATCCTTCGCTGGTGCCCCGCCGGTGTATCCCGATAGTGCGGGTGGGGTTACCATAAAATTATCATCCATAAAAAAAAAGATCACCCGTAACACCAGAGGCATTGCAAGTGTGGTGCTGATTTTTAAAAAGGAATATGCTCTTTTGAAGTCCGGATTCGTTTTAGGTCGTCGTTCGTTTGAGGTTCGGATGTCCCCGAATTATAGAAGGAATCTTTTATAAAAAAATATAACTGATAACATTAACTTTTCTAAAGACTCGAAATCAAAAAACAGTCACCGAAATTAGATACAATTCTTGCTTGCTGAACACCATCCGGTCACTTTTTCGTTAAGGTTTGTGGAAACAAACTGTTTTGCTTAAGTTACTGACCTGACTCAGCTGGCTTTACTACCGGTGGAATTTGTCTTGCTTCACACAATCCTGTGATCACCACCATCAGATAACACAGAAAAACAGACATTTTAAACATTGTTATTGCATATACTGCCTTGAACTTGTAAATGACTAAACGACATTAAAACTGGTATCTCCTTATATACCTCTATGCAACTAAGTTACCTAACAGGAAAATGACCACGTGCAATTTAAACGAATTGATGCAAGTCCATTGATGGTTTTATTATGCTTTTGTTGTATGATTCTAAATATAGCTAGTAATGGATATGAATTAAATTATTGAGTACCGAACTAAGATTGCAGAATCGTAGTTCATCGTTGGAATAATAACTTAAGAAACAAGTATTCGTATCGTTTAAAATAAACTAAATCAAACTAATACAATAAAATTGTATCTGGAAGGTGTTTGTACATTTTTCTTAAAAACACAGGGGAAAACGAGCATGCGGCTCACCTGATGGTAAGTGACTACCGCCGCCCATGATCACTCATAACACCAACGGCAATGCAGGAGGTCTGCCGCCTTTTTAAAAAGGAATATGCTTTTATCTTTAAGGTTTTTTTTTGATGAATGAAAATGGTATGGTAACCCCGCTTGCGCTAACGGGATACGCTGGCGGAGCACCAGTGAAGAGTGATAGATGAGAATAAAAACAGGCCAGTTAGCCCATCATGATGAATTCATCAGGAATTAACCATGATGGTTTCCAGGGGGAACCGCGAGGAGGTCGACCTGGTTGGGTATATTGCTAGCAATGGGATTCTCAGTCTCTATTACTAACAACCCCTTTCCCCCCTATCTTGAAGGTTATGTTGTCGTATCGGTTCGGAAATACTGCTGATGGAAGTTGATTCCAAAGTGTGGTTGTGCGTGATAGAAAGTACCTTGTATGGGAGATATTTAACAAGCAAATATATATCATGAGCGATCTTAATAAGATCAATAAAAGTCAAAGCACTAGTTTTAAAAGTAATTTCGGTTGTATATTATTTCTGGTGTCATGCACAAACTAAGTACTATATCAAATTGTGTTCTGGAAGGTGTAATTTAAATACTGGTATACGTTTTATTTTGACGTCAGGCAGGTGGCCGGTCGTAAAACTAAAAACCAAATCTTTTTGTAATACGGATAAAATCATATTACGCCGATCCCAAACGATTGGGATAAGGGTAGGAAGATGATGATGATACGTTTTATTTTGAAGTTGATTATGTTGGATTTCCTACTTCACAAATCCACTCGTACGAAGTAGTGGGCTGAACGCTAGTGAGTAAAATATAAATAAAACGAACTCGTGTTAAGAAAAATACATGTGAAAGTAAATAAATAAACAGTCATAATTACGTTGATACGCATTTATTCAGTAAGTTAAGTAGGTAACCAATTTTATTATCACTTATCAAATTTCTACCAGAGGGAGACTTTGTACAAAAGTCGATTGCTTGAGTACCTCTGTCCCATTCGTGTTTCAACCGTGAAGCAGTTGTGTTTGCATGGCTGTGTTTCGGTTTAAAGGGTGGGATATGGCGTGAATTTACTGGGTACAGAGGAATAACACCTGAGTCCTCAGGAATGGCAACGCATGGGGGGTATCGTGGGCGAAACAGTATACTCTGTTATGTCCATGGTACTGCTCATGTTACATAGGCGACGGTTACCACTTTCCATCAGGTGGGCCGTCAGCTTGTTTGCCATTCTAAGTTGTATAAAAAAAAAATACAAATAATTTAGTCAAGTGTAGTTTTTTTTTCTCTTTGGTAATATCTAAAGTTTAATATACAGAGGCTAAGTGCGGAAAATGGAGGTGTATTTACATTACATTACGAGTACATTACATTACAAGTTTAATATACAAAAATAAACCATCTTCTATTATGGCAAAATCCGTTATTTTTATTTAAAAATAAATGTACTGAATATTTTTGATAAAATATCTACGGAATCAGTCTGTAAGTTAAAGTCTTTCTGATAAAAAACTAATTTTCCAAATTGGTTTATAATCAACGGATTTATATAACGGAGGTAACACACATAAAAAAATACAATCGAATTGAGAACCCTCTAGTTTTGAAGTCGGTTGAAAACACAATGTGTTATAAATAGATACCTATTTGTTATTTTTTTTACATTGTTGTTTTGATATAAAGACATACCAATATATTTTTATTTGAGTATAAAAAAAATATATAATTTACGCAAGTCGGTTCACATTCCTGTACATCGTCAGACACTATGAAGGTGACTTGTAGAACTTGTTACTATCCTTGAATAAAAAGGTAATTATTGTAATAGGTTATAGGCATACAATATAGATAGAGCATAGAGCCTCAAAAACGGGTCAACTCTTTGACAACTAATTGTCAAATTAGCTGACTCGTTTTTTTTATCATTGTTCTATGTACTTACACATACAATGTATCATAACGTATCTGTATTTAATTATTTAATAAATAATATATGTATTTATGCATTAAAAAGATGCAGAATTTATATGACAAAATAAATATAGAAGTTATAAAGGAATCAATCATAACTATCACGAAAAATTTTATGAAAAACTTGACATGTTTTTTTCAAACCATTTGTATGGAGACACTCTATCTATGTAATTCAAGGTTATATAGATTTATTTTTCTAACACAGAAGGACTAACTAACTTAGTAATAATTATGCAATTAGCAATCTGGCCACCCATAAAAATCTTATCTGTTATGTATCTATCATCTTGCGTAAATAACGCCATCTATCGGAGACATTAACATTTATAAAGTCATTATTTTTATTGATTGTGTAACTATGTTGAATGCAACATAATTACACAATGATTTCACATATCATCATATCATACCAGCTGTTAACTGTCCACTGCTGAACATAGGCCTTACTCATAAGGTAAAGACTTTGCCAGTAGTTACCCCCACGCCTGACTGAACACCCATAATAAGTAGTTTTTTTTAATTGAATAAAAATTGAATGGTGACCCCGCCTGCGCTAACGGGATACGCTGGCGGGGCACCAGTGAAGGGTGATCGATGAGGATGAAAACAGGCCAGTTAGCCTATCATGATGAATTCATCTGGAATTAATCATGATAGTTTCCAGGGGGAACCGCGAGGAGGTCGACCTGGTTGGGTATATTGCTAGAAATGGGATTTTTAGTCTCCATTACTAACAATTCCTTTCCCCCCATAATAAGTAGTTACCACGTCTGACAGGTGGGTTGGCAACCGCAGTTAGGATTTAATAATGTTTTTTTAATAGGTGAAAATGGCATGGTAACCCCGCCTGCACTATCGGTATACGCTGGCGGGGCACCAGTGAGGGATGATAGGTGATGATGAAAAGGCAATTTAGTTAGCTCATCGTGGCGAATTCAACGATAAATTAGTCACGATAGTTTCCAGGGGACTTTTGGAAAGGTGGAGTTTGATTTGATGGGCAATGGAGACTAATCTCCCCATTACTAACAATCCCTTCCTCCCGACCTCTGGTGAAGTTGTAACAGGCATGCTACTGCCCATCTCTAGCCTATTAAAATCTCTTACTTGCCTCTTATGACACCCACAGCAAAGGAAGGCGTGACGCATTCTATGCCGAAACCACACGGTAAATACTGATGACATATGTAAATATTGATGACTGTAATGACAAAATTTTAGATGTAGTAATATTCACAATTATTTTAATGAATTACAAAAAAAAAATAGGTTGATAATACAACATATTTTTTTAAAATTATAATAATCTTGTAATAGCTGACTTTTGTCAGATTAATCGTTGTTTTAATTACCTATATTTACTATACATATTAACATATATACACTATATTAACATATAGGTATGTCGTAAACTTTGACAATGATTGATCACAGTATAAAAAAGGAAAGGAATAATAAGAGATAAATGCTACACAAGTATACCTATCGCCTGGTTCTCAATTCAGAATACCCCGTGTAATGAGGAACCAGGCAGAGACCATATTGGTACACAATCCAGATCACCCAGATTCGGGCAAATTTAGAAGAAATCGTTTCTCTTAATTGGCTTGATGCCGAGACCTCAAAATACTAAGCAATGTGGTTACCACTGACAATTGTTTGAAACTCGACACGTTCATCTTGACGGATATCATCTATGCCACAATTTCTCCCAATTTTTTTTATCACCACCTACTTTGTCAATATGTTTTTCTACAGTCTTCCATCAGGCTCTTCTTTCCTACTGGGCACGCTGGGCACGTGCCCAGGGTTTCGCGATGGATTGGGGTCTCTATCAGTCTAGTCCTTACTCCATTATAATTTCCATTTAATACTATGGTTATAGGGGCCCCATTATGGTAATGTGCCCAGGGCCCCTAGTAGGTGAAAAACGGCCATGTTTCTCATCTCAATTTTATTTACAATCTGTCTTTTATAGATTTTCTTTTTTAATCTTCTCACATTCCCATCTGTGCTACCTGAGTATCGAATGATCTAGTCTCTCGCCCTCTAATTTTCTCTGGCTCATTTACTGCTGCTTTAAAAGTCTCAAACGTTGGGAACCTATAATCTATGTGATCTTAAAACAACATTTTTTACGAAGACACATTATTATTATTACACAATTCACTAATATTATATAAATAACTACCTATATTCGCATTGGCAATTAAGAACAGTTTGTGTGGAAAAAAAAGTAAAATAGCGTTTTCACTTTTCAATTTTTTCTACTCATAAGAACCGTTCATTGAATATTTAAAAATAAAATAAGCTGAACTGGTCTGGGCGTTCTCGAGTTTTCTCGCTATTCTATTCGTTTAGCAATACAGCAAGTGATTCAATTTTATTCATAAATAGTTTACAGTATTAGGCATTGAAAAAACTCCTTTCACACATAAGTCCTCCATTACGACTTTTCAAATCATCTATACTTCTTAATACGTTTTGTAACTCTTCAAACTTGGGCACAGTTTTCAAGAATAAATTGGCCGTGTTCGGTTCAGATGGAGTGTATGTCGTACCAATTTGTCGTTCATAATGTACGAAATAATTATCGTTTATCGATCGAAACACTATATGCTCTTTAAAATGACCATCACAAATACATTTGGAACGTAACGCTTCACTGACATCTTGTGAGGATTCCACAACCACA